ATGAAGAAGTACCGGTCGGTATCACGGGCCGAGAGAGCAGAATACTCTGCAACCGAGAAATATCATTTATAAAGGTCGTGTGACAGAACCACACGCCCAGGGAGGCTACTTGGGAACTGGAATCAGAATTTAAAGCCCAGTATCCCCATCTGTTCGATCAAGAGTAAGAGGCAAATTTGGGGGACCAAATTTCTTTAAGGGGAGGAGAGTTGTAACGCCCAAAACGTGGGCATTTTTGTAATTACCTCATTAATTTTTTTTTATCCAGCCAAAAAAAAAAGAGCATGGTGGCGCAGAGAACGGAAGAAGAAGAAGGAAGCAAAGACGTGCACGTCGCGAGCGGGAAGAGATGGGTTTTCGTGATTTTTGGAGAATCTTCAGTGCAAGGATGCTGATCTAAACAGTTTCGCTCCACTATAAGCGGCGTAGTGGCGCAGAAAACGGGAGAAGAAGAAGGAAGGAAGGATGTGTACGTCGCGAGCGGGAAGAGATGGGTTTTCGTGATTTTTGGAGAATCTTCAGTGCGGGGATGCTGATCTAAATAGCTTCGCTCCACTATAAAGAACGAAACTCGAAAACAGAGAAAGGAGGAATCCTTGAGGCAAAAGGGGCGTAGAGAGAGAGAGAAGGCCGAGAAGAGAGAGAGAGCTCATCTTCTCCATGGACTCTTCTCAAAATACTTAGAAAAAAATCCCCTCAAATTGTTCTTCTCATTCTTTATTTCCCTTCTACTCGCAGAACCAATTACTGGCCTCTACTTATTGACATAAACACAAATATCACCCATCTCTGTATTTTCTTCAGCGCGACTCCAAGCAACTCAGGCCATCTCTGTCACGGAAGAAGCTCTCTCTCTGCTGTCCTTAATTTCCGAGCGGCAATCATATACATTGCAGCTTATCATCACCGAGACCCAACCTTCATTGCACAATTGATCGGAGCCAAATCACCAAAGCACGAACCTCACCGGAGAGCCGTCGCACCCGAGAGCACCGCCGCCGGTACCGTTGGTGTGTTTCAGTTCCCCGGAAAAAATTCAGGGAAAATTAGGGATGGCCTGTAGGCGCACTGTGAATCGTATTCGGATCCCGAAAACGAGTAAGGACCCCTCACCCTATTTCCTATCACGGTATTAAAGTTCAAAATGATAAAACGGTATTTCTTGAATTAACGCATGTGTGAAATTGCTTAAGGTTGCTAATGGAGCCCGAGTCTAGTGTGATTTATGATTTACTGTTATTTGGCCTGTTTTACAGCTTTAAATACATTATGAGGTTTGATGTGTTCATTTTATAGTTTCGAGTGCATATATTACTGTTTTATTTATTTATGGGTTGAAAGACTGAAGAACTGATACTGTATGTTGTCTGTTTGGCGTGAATTACGATTTGCTTTCTTAAATGTGAATTGATGATGCTTATTGAGGAAAAGGAAAATGAAAGATTGTGTAGACTGATAATTGTATGATGGGGTTAGCCTGACTAGATATCCTGGGAGATGGTGGACGGACCGGGTCCGTAGGGAACCCTACCGGGATTGTGGTCTCACATGCCGGACGGGGTATGGAGATCTTATGGTTTTGGCGCCCATACCGGACGGGGTATGGGGACGGCCCGTTTCACCCTCATACCGGACGGGGTATTGAGGTTTATGGTTTTGGCGCCCATACCGGACGGGGTATGGGGACGGCCCGTTTCACCCTCATACCGGACGGGGTATTGAGGTTTATGGTTTTGGCACCCATACCGGACGGGGTATGGGGACGGCCCTGGAAACTGATTATGAATGTTAAAGGTTAACGGGTAGCGGAACCCCTATGGACCCCCACGGATACTAGTAGGCTGGTAAATGAGAAAAAGATATGTTGTACAATGATTGAATTACAAGAGGCGTGATAAGTGCTATGTTTTACAGCTTATATTATTCCATGATTGTGATATTGTTATTGTTTTCTTATATTGTTTCATGAATTCCACCGAGGTAAGTGGATGGTAAAGGTTTTATCATAAATAAAAGGATTTGTTGTAAATCATGCTCCATTGGTCTTTTATGTTTTTCTACCCACCTTTACCTCCGTGACGGTGAGATATCGTGATGTTCTTACTGGGCTAGTATAGCTCACTCCTTATTTAACCATTTCAGATCAGGAAGACATGGTTCCCGAGCCCGTTCCGCAGGAGGACGACGAAGGGGATGCCTAGAGACTCTGTAGTCATACTCATAGTTTTATTTTCGAGTTTCTCTCTTAGTTAGTTTAATCTTTTATATTTTAAGTACGTTTTTGGTTTTCGTGTAAGGGATGTTAACCGAAATTTTAATCTCGCTTCCGCATTTAATATTTATAATATAATTTCCATTTTGAATTTCCGGGACTGTTATAACTTGATTTGACATCGAAAACTAGATTTTCACTACGAGCGGTCCCTAGGTTCCCTGAATTTTTTTTCGGGAACTAAAACGCGCTTACGGTACCTACACATGTCTTAAATAACCCAAAAATCAGACTCAGGGCCTACTCAGCCAATTTTAACCGCCGTGCTCCGGCGATCTGCTATGTTCCGGTGACGGCGTCGCCACTCGCGACGGCGATCTACCTCGGATTGACTGTTTTCGGTCGTTTTCAGCCGAATTCAGCCAAACTTGCATCGGTTCCTGTGAGAAAATACACTTAGGGCCCTCGGTGGGTCGAAAAAATACAGAAAACCGAAACTTACCGGTGGTGGGCCTCTCCGGTGCGGCGGCTCTTCCGACTCACATCACGGTTGGGTGTTTTGCTCCGGTCAACCTGTAGAGGAGGAAACGATGATCACAATGGTGAAAAAATCACATCGAACAGAAATCGAGAAAGGCTTCATTGGAGGCAAAAACTGAGACACCCTGCAGGGGCGCTGCTGAGCTTCGGCGGCGTTTTCCGGCTAATTGGCCGGTGTTTTCGCTCCAATTTGGTCATAAGTGGGTTAGAATCAAACTCCGAACAAAGGGTAGAATTTTTACCTCATTTGGCTGTCAGAAATTACTCCGGTACGGCGGCGGTCGGCTCCCCAGCGGCTGGGCTATCTTCTGCGGTGAGGGGTTCTGGCGGCTAGGGTTAGGGTTTGGGTGCGGATGAGGTTATTTATACTCATCTGCTTTTGATCTGAGCTATCTATCACTTTTAATCTGCACTGTCCGATCACGATTAAATAAGAAATGAATTTGGACCATTCATCGCGATTCAATTTGGGTCGTCCGTACGCGATTCAATCTAGACCGTCAGAGCGTGATGCAATCTGGGCCGTCCGTGCACGTTTTTGATCTGGTCCGTCCATGCGCACGGGAACGCATCTCAGTCGTTCGATCGCGCGCACGCGGATCGCCCACGTGGCTCCCTCCCGCGTCAGCATCTCTGCCACCTGACGCGTCCTGGTTGGTCGGGGATACTGATCGGGCAGCTGACGTGGCACAACTTTTTTAAATTGCGTTTTGACCATCCGGTTTTCGATTTTTCTTTCAAAAATACCTCCAGAATCCAAATTTTCACTAATTTTCTCCAAAATTATTTTCAATTAAATCCTTAAATAATTTTTTACCCTTTATTATTATTATTATTATTATTATTTCTATCAAATTAAATTAATTTCTAATAACACTTAATTATATTTATATAGAACACATTAAATTAAAATAAAATAATAATAATAATAATAATAAAATTAAAAAGAAATATTTGGTTGTTACAAAGTAGCTCAAATTAGTAAACTGTATGTTTGTTGAGGATGCTTGTTCAAACATGAAAATTCCAAACTTAATATCATCTATCGTGTCTTTATAAGATCAAAACTTAATATTATCTTTAATATGCTATATTTTTATATGTCTCTCATGAATCTTCATCTTTCTCTTAATACACATAAAAAATTTGTTTAAAATCATTACATTAATAACCCGTAAACTTTATTGGGAAGTTATGGAAAAAAAAATTATCTTTATCCATAATATTATGATTTGTGTTTTCAATTATTTTATTATTGTCGCTTTTATCTAATGTTAAATGACACTAAAAATATACATGGACTAACTTTGTTCTTTAAGACTCGAAACCTTTACTTATAAAATATAAATGAGTTAGCTCATGTTCCTGGTCGTAAAAATTTGGTGGGTTATAATAATTTTTAATTAATCATATGTAATTAAATTCAATATGAAATTTGTGCATGACAGTTTTTTATTTTTCTTTTATTTTTAATCATTCTTATATTAAAAAAAAAAAAAAAAAAGAACTCAATATGGAACTCTCCCTTCTCTTCTCGATATAAGCTTCGTATACATTATTAACCTGACTTAAAAACAAATAAAGTTAACAAACAGGCATAATTTTAATATAATGATAAATAAATAATGCACACGGAGTTGACTTTGACTTGCAGTTGATTTTATTTAGGTACTATGGTATGGCCCACCTTATATTTTCGAAGAAATGAACTTAGGAGATTCTGTTTTCATTTTTATCGTAAACTCTTTTGACTTTTATATTCAAATTAATTATGCTAGCTGTCTTGATTTTATATTACTTATTTTCTAAACCATTTAACATAATAATCAAATTTAAAAATTCTGTTACAATTTATTCATTAATTATATAATTTATTCCTTTTGCTGATAATATTGTATAAAATTGTAAATATTTTAATAAAAATCACAGAAATTATTTTTAATTTTATTTATATTTTATTTTTGTTGGATTTAAAGTCATAGAAATTAAATATTAATAACTTAAGATTAAATATTAATAAAAAAATGTTAACAAAAAATGGTATAAATAACTACCTTTAAATTTTTAATTTTTAATTTTTAATTTTAAATGGGAAATATTTTAGTTATAAAAAATCAAAAATAAATTATAACATAATTGATAATTTAGTATTACATTTTAATTTTAATTATATCTCTTAGTGCCATAATAATTTTTTTTTTTTAAAAAAAAAAAGAAAACCATGGTCGGCTCCTGAAGGAGCGAAAAAGTCAAGTTGCGGGTCAACGCGAACTGCTCCTCTTCTATGCACGTATAGCAGCAAATCAGTATCAAAAGCGGAAGTGTCTGCTCCGATTCTCCCTCAAATCTCCTCGTCCTGTCGCACGGTCGAAATTAAACGCGCCGGTTAACGCTAAATGCCTCGATGGGCTTCTGGTCCAACATCTGCGGTTGCTTGGAGAAGGGGCCGAAGGTCGACCGACGCACCGGTCCCTCTACAGTCGACGAAGCCGAAAGCGGCGGCGAGGCTTGGAAGATTTTCTTCGATCTTCAGATTCTGCAGGTTGCCACCAATTTCTTCTCGGAAATGAACCAGCTCGGACATGGCGGCTTCGGTCCTGTCTACAAGGTACTCTCCTTAATAATCGGAACTACTAAGTATCCCTGTGAATGTAATTGGCCCTGTAGGTTAGTTAGACAGCTTAAGAATCATCTTCATCTCTTTTTATTCGATTTTGCGGTACCTTTCGGTTTGAGTTTATGCTCCGCTGAATTGTTTTACAATATTATCTTCGAGGTTCGTTGGAATCACGTGATGGTTTTTTTCTCCTGAAACTATGAAATCAACGTTTTCATATCAATAGCCAATTATTGTTTTCTGTTCTTTCTATTATAGTGATCTTTTGTAAAATTGCAATTAAACTAATGAAGAAGAAAACTTCTAGTTTTACAAACGGCTTCTATTTTTAGAAGCTTACTCACCTTGCATGTTAATTTCCTGTCTGTGTTTTTCTCTTTGGGGTGAGGAAGGATGTGTATTTTGAAATTCTGAAAATTATTATTAAGTTTTAGCCTGTTAGTTCTTAACAGGGATTGATGCCAAATGGTCAAGAAATAGCTGTGAAGAAGCTTTCACTACAATCAAGGCAGGGGTTGAGAGAATTCACTAATGAGGTGAAGCTACTATTAAAAATCCAGCATAAGAACCTGGTTACCTTGCTGGGTTGCTGTGTTCAAGGTCCTGAGAAGATGCTTGTGTATGAGTACTTGCCCAATAAAAGCCTTGATTACTTTCTCTTTGGTAAAAAATCATTCTCGAAATCAGCTACAATTGGATTGTTACCGATCCAGATAAGATTAGATGTTGATGTTGGTATATGGAGTCCGTCCTAATAGTTGAAGCATTCAATAATTTCAGATAGAGACAAGTCTTCATCCTTGGATTGGGCAACGCGATTTCAGATTGTCACAGGAGTTGCACGAGGTTTACTCTACCTGCACGAAGAAGCGCCTGAAAGGATCATTCATAGAGACATCAAGGCTAGTAACATATTGCTTGATGAGCAGTTGAATCCTAAAATTTCAGATTTTGGCTTGGCAAGACTCTTTCCTGGGGAAGACACCCATGTGAATACATTTAGGATTTCTGGTACTCGGTGAGTAGTTTCTTTACTCCGTGTTTATGTTTCCTTTTCATGTGATCTCCCCCAGCAAGTTTACTGATAAGATTCTTATGTTGCTTAAAGTTTATCATAAAATTCACTTAAAGTTAAGAGAGATTATAAAAATTACTTCAAGTGAAATTATTGCTCATTTGCAGTGGTTATATGGCACCCGAATATGCACTACATGGATATTTATCTGTAAAGACCGATGTTTTCAGTTATGGTGTCTTGTTGTTAGAAATTGTAAGTGGGAGAAGGAACCATGACGGCCGACTTGGCAAGGAAATGCCAGACCTCGTGAACTATGTAAGTATTCAATTATATGATACGGCAAGTTAGTACTGTAATTGTTGCCTAAACTCCTTATCTTAAAATGTTCAGCATCTGAACTGCGCATTTTCTGAACCTGAGGATTGTGATGAATTTGATAATCAGAAGAGGATCAACATAGGGTACTGGGCATTCATTGTCCCTACAAAATGATTGATCTATTACTGGAAATGAGCCTTTTGTGATCTTATAAGATATGTTAAAATCATTTTAGTAATTCCCAAATAATTGAATTCTGAACAGTCAACATACTTGAAACATTGCAGTTGGTTTAAGTAAATTCTTATTCTATTAATTGATTTTAGTTATTTTCCAATACATATATAATCAAAACCAACTTCACTCGTATCTTTAAATTTATAATGATGAATTTATAAAACACTTAACTTAATTGAACATATAATTTATTTGGAATTAGAATACTATTATCATTCAAAATTTCTCATGTGCATTAAACTTCAATTTTTATTCTATAAGAAGTTGAAGTTTAAACCATATTAGCTAAAGATGTCACTTTTTTATTTGGTTTTTACAGGCTTGGACACTTTATAAAGACGGGAAGATGCTGGAGTTAATGGATTCAAGTCTTGCCAAGTACAACCGGGATGAGGCAGCCATGTGCATTCAGCTAGGGTTGTTATGTTGTCAGCAAAGTGTAACAGATAGGCCTGACATGAACTCTGTTTATCTCATGCTTTCAAGTGACTCATTTACGCTGCCAAAACCCGGAAAACCTGCAATTCAAGGCCGTTTAGGTCGATGGACGACCACTTCTACTTCTGCCTTCACTAACACTAATGCTACCAGTACCAATACTGGTGTTACCAAAGCATCAGGAGGCAGTAGTTATGCAGAGGATTATTCTAGGAATTCCATTTCGATTTCTTCTTTTGATGAAGGTAGATGACTGCCTTCTGTAATTTTTTGAAAGAGATTGTGCTTGTTAATGTTTATGTAAAGATTTATTCATGTGTTTATAAGATAATGAATTTCATTTGTTTAAGTCTTAAGTATGCGATGTGTGTAAAGGAGAAAAGAACCAAGGGGGAGACAGAGAGATCTAATAGAAAGAGAATGCTGACAGTTAATGATAGATTTAACTTTCTAAACCTCTTAAACACTTTTTTTCTCTTTTAAGATATAAGTTTTGCCCTTTTTGTTTGAAACGAGAAAGTCTTATTTTAGGCAGTTCGGAAGTTAGGCGATTATTGAGACTTATCTATTAATATAAGATTTTTACTTCTTATTATTCAGATAGTTTTACTCTATTTTGTTGAGATTAGTAGTTAATAAAAAATAATTGGTTGGTAAATGGAGTCTTTAAAAAAAAGTGCTAAATGTTCTTTGGTGACTCCCAAAGAAATATGGAGTTAGACTTTGTAAATTTGAGATCATGACTTTTCTAACTGACTTTAATAAATCCCCCTCCTGATCCAAAGCCGGCCGGGGTTTAATAACTGCACCAAGTCAAAACCTGCTACCACCAACACCTGAAGTTGCTGAAAGAACCAGGCTGCCTAGTTTGGCTGTAAGCTCAAATCGTCGCCTTGATGGAGTTCCTCTCCAGCCTCTTGACCTGCTTTTGTAAGCAGCTGAATTCCCATGCAGACGACGAGTGGAAACTCTCCTTCGATCCTCGCACTCTGCAGATCGCCACCAACTTCTTCTCTGACCTCAACCTGGTTGGCAAACACGGCTTTTGCCCTGTTTACAGGGTAATTCTCCTCAATCATCCGAACTTTCAAATAAACAGTCGTTTAAGATTTTTCGTTTTTTTGTCTCTCTAGTTGGAATTTATAAGGTAGCTTAAAACACCTGCTGCTGCTGTAAGCATATTTTGAAAATAAATTCTAAAAATAAAAAATAAAGATTTGTTAGAATACCTTCGCAGGGATTGATGCCAAATGGTCAAGAAGTAGCCGTCAAGAAGCTTCCAAAGGCGTCAAGGGAGAGCTCAAGAGAATTCAGAATGGAGATAGACATACTAGTGGAAATCCAGCACAAAAACTTGGTTACCTTCCTAGGGTATTGTGAAGAAGGTCCTGAGATGATGCTTGTTTATGAGTATCTGCCCAACAATAGCCTTGAATTCTTTCTCTTTGGTAAACCATATATAAACATCCTTTTTTGCCACTGTTGGAATCTTATAAAGCAACAATCATTTGGTTCATAAATTCACAAACATTTTCAGATAAAGACAGGTCTTGGTGGCTGGACTGGAAAAGGCGATTTCAGATCATAAAAGGTGTGGCAGATGGTCTTCTCTACCTCCATGAAGAAGCTTTTATAAGGATTGTTCATAGGAATATTGGAGCTTGTAATGTTTTGCTAGATGAGCAGTTTAATCCAAAGATTTCAGCACTTGGCCAAGCAAAGCTCTTCCCGGGGAACGTCATCCATATTATCTGCAGGGTATCTGGGATTATGTGAGTAGTAGTTTCTTTCCCCCCTTCCATATTTTCTTCTCATTTCATTCTCCTCTACATCTAGTTTAATTATAATTATATTCCTGTTTATACATTCTGGGTCATCTCAAAACTTGATTTTTCGAACATGGTGAAATAAATTTCAAGGAGAGTTATTCTTTGCTGATTACTTGCAGTGGTTATATGGCCCCTGAATATGAACTGCATGAAAAATTGACTGAGAAGGCTGATGTTTTCAGTTTTGGAATCTTGGTTCTAGAGATAGTAAGTGGAATAAGCAGCCGTAACCTGCGCCAGAGTGGAGATATGAGTGATTTGCTGAGTTATGTAAGTGAATTCTGGTTTATGCATCTCCTGACTTTCTTTAGCTATAACTATGTAATTTTTTTTATCAGAATCTAATAATGTCTGCTTGGCCTTAATCAAGACTAATTGAACTTGCTGGCTTACGGTTCTCGTAACCCTCTTAGATTTGATGAAAACCATTTTATCTAATTCAAGAACGCGTGGTTTCACATTGGAATTAATGGGTGGTGTTTAAAATCTGTTTTGCAGACATGGAGGCTTTACGAAGAAGATGAGGCCTTGGAATTAGTCGATTCAAGTCTTGCTTCGTACAACCGCAACCAGGCAGAATTGTGCATTAAGTTAGGATTATTATGTTGTCAAGAAAGTGTTGATGCTAGGCCAGATATGAAATCTATTAATCTCATATTGTCAGCTGATTTGCCTATTTTGCGAAAACCTATTAAGCCAAGATTTGAATTTCGAAACTTTAATTCTTAGACGGAAGAGTCGGTTAAATCTCATCTCTGTTTCTTGTTGTGATCAAGCTAGATGATGACGACCACTTATTTGTGAATAATTTGTTCCATTAGTATCTTATAAATCATTATTCAATTTCAACAGTAACCCTTAATTTTAATACCGAATAATGTTTATTTTATTATTAGAATATATATTTTTTATTAATCAAGTAACAATGACACTTATTATTAGTGGAGCTTAATAATATTTATTCTATTAATATATTTTTATAATTTAAGAAAATTTGGAAATATTATAATAACTTATAATATAAGAATTTTGACCCTATATTTATTATATTTTTATATTCTTCTCCCAAAAAAATCGTCCCTAAAAACTCAAAAAATAATGGACTACTTTAATAATTGAGTCTTGAGTCAACCAAAACACGGCTTTGACGGTACCCAGTCAACGGCGTCTCCGTTTAACGGATCAATTTTTTTATATGCCGTACGATCGAACCGAAAGTTTCACCTGGATTTGTGCCGGGAGGTGGTGGTGTCTTCATGGGGTTCTTGTCCAGCCTTTTCACCTGCTTCAGTCACGAGCCTGAAGACGAGGAAGAATGAAATATCTCCTTCGAGCTTCGCACTCTTCAGGTTTCCACCAACTTCTTCTCTAAGAGTAACCTTCTCGGCGATGATGGCTATGGTCCCCTCTATAAGGTACTTCGGCAAAATTAATGAGATACTAGTTTTAAGCATCAACATTTGGAGAAGCTCGTATTTTTGTAGTTCCTGTCTGTTAGGAATCTAGTTCCTAAACTAACCTTCACTGATCAGACAAGATGATGAAAAGTCTAAACAGTAAAGCGAACGAAGAGCATATCGTGGGAAGAATAGAGAGAGTTTTTGGACTTGGGAAAAATTGTTCCGTAATTTTATAGTCAACGATTTAAAATGACTTTCAATTAGAAGATATAATGCCAAATTTCCAGTTACAAGAACAAATTACTAATTAATCGAATTCCTTAAGTTACGCGGTCCAAATATAGTTGGTTGGATTATAGGGATGGAAATGGTAGCAGAAAAGTGTTCTGCATTATTTGTTGCAATTATGGGAATGAATGTTTCTAATGGAATTATATAAACAAGAACAAATATGAAGAAGCTATAAATTTTTTATTTTGTTTAATTGTAGTTATCATTAAAAGGAAAATTTGTAAAATCATAGTTAAGTTTTGGCTTATGCATGATTTTAGTAGGGACTGATGTCGAATGGTCAATAAGTGGCTGTTAAGAAGCTTTCAGCATCACATGTGCCAATGAAGTTCCGAAATGAGGTGAAGCTACTAACCGAAATCCACCATGAGAACTTGGTTACCTTGCTGGGATATTGTGAAGAAGGCCCTGAGAGGATGCTTGTTTATGAGTATCTCCCAAATGGAAACCTTGATAACTTTCTCTTTGGTGAAATATGCTTTCATCATCTGCCACAATTGGATCTTCTCAATCAACAATCAGTTAAATGTTGGCAAATTCTGACTAACAGATAAAATGCTTAAATTTTCAGATAAAGACAAATCTTTGTGCTTGGATTGGACAACCAGATTTCAGATAGTCACAGAAGTGGCACGAGGTATACTCTACCTGCACGAAGAAGTGCCTGAAAGGATCATTCACAGGGACATCAAAGCTAGTAACATATTGCTTGATGAGCAGTTGAATCCTAAAATTTCAGGTTTTGGCTGGGCAAGACTCTTTCCTGGGGAAGACACCCATGTGAATACATTTAGGATTTTTGGTACTCAGTGAGTGGCTTCTTTACTCGGCGTTTTTTCTTCTTTTTCATGTGATCTCCCCAAGCGAGTTTACTGATAAGATTCCTATGTTGCTTAAAGTCTATAATAAAATTACATAAAGTTGGAGAGATGATAAAAATTAATTCAAGTGAAATTATTGCTCGTTTGCAGTGATTATATGGCACCCGAATATGCACTTCATGGATATTTATCTGTAAAGACCGATGTTTTCAGTTATGGTGTCTTGTTGTTAGAAATTGTAAGTGGGAGAAGGAACCATGACGGCCGACTTGGCAAGGAAATGCCAGACCTCATGAACTATGTAAGTATTCATTTATATGATGCAGCAAGTTAGTACTGTAATTGTTGCCTAAACTCCTTATCTTATAATGTTCAGCATCTGTACTGCACATTTTCTGAACCTGAGGATTGTGATGAATTTGATAATCAGAAGAGTATAAACATAGGGTCCTGGGCATTCATTTTCCTTATAAAATGATTGATCAATTACTGGAAATGAGCCTTTTGTGATCTTATAAGATATGTTAAAATCATTTTAGTAATTCCCAAATAATTGAATTCCGAACAGTCAACATACTTGAAACATTGCAGTTGGTTTAAGTAAATTCTTATTCTATTAATTGATTTTAGTTATTTTCCAATACATATATAATCAAAACCAACTTCACTTATCTCTTTAAATTTATAATGATGAATTTATAAAACACTTAACATGAATTGAACATATAATTTATTTGGAATTAGAACACTATTATCATTCAAAATTTCTCATGTGCATTATACTTCCATTTTTATTCTATAAGAAGTTGAAGTTTAAACCATATTAGCTAAAGATGTCACTTTTTTATTTGGTTTTTACAGGCTTGGACACTTTATAAAGACGGGAAGATGCTGGAGTTAATGGATTCAAGTCTTGCCAAGTACAACCGGGATGAGGCAGCCATGTGTATTCAGCTAGGGTTGTTATGTTGTCAGCAAAGTATAACAGATAGGCCTGACATGAACTCTGTTTGTCTCATGCTTTCAAGAGACACATTTACACTGCCAAAACCCGGAAAGCCTGGAATTCAAGGCCGTTTAGGTCGATGGACGACTACTTCTGCTTCTGCTTTCACTAACACTAATGCTACCAGTACCAACACTGGTATTACCAACGCATCAGGAGGCAGTAGTTATGCAGAGGATTATTCTAGGAATTCCATTACGGTTTCTTCTTTTGATGAAGGTAGATGACTGCCTTTTGTAATTTTTTGAGAGAGATTGTTATTGGTAATGTTCTATGTAAAGATTTATTCATGTGTTTATAAGATAATTAATTTCATTTATTTAAGTCTTAAGTATGCGATGTGCATAAAGAAGGGGAAAAGAACCGAGGGGGAGAGAGAGAGAGAGAGAGAGAGAGATCTAACAGAGAGAGAATGCTAGACAGTTAATGATAGATTTAACTTTCTAGACTTTCTAAACATTTTTTTCTCGTTTAAGATATAAGTTTTGTTTTTCTTTTTTTTAGTCGAGAAAATCTTATTTTATGCAATTCGGGAGTTAGGTGATTGCTGAGAGTTATCTATTAATATAAGATTTTTACTTTTTATTATTCAGATAGATTAAAATATTTCGCTTTTTGTCTCTCTTGTTGGATTAATGGAAATGGTTAATTAAGTAATGAATTTATAAGGTAGCTTAAACACCTGCTACTACTACTGTAAGCATATTTTGTAAATAAGTTCTACATAAAATATATATATATATATATAGATTTGTCAGAATACCTTCACAGGGATTGATGCAAATGGTCAAGAGAATTCAGCAATGAGATGAACACACTAGTGGAAGTCGAGCCCAAACACTTTGGTTACCCTCCTGGGGCATTGTGAAGGTGGTCCTGAGACGATGCTTGTTTATGAGTATCTGCCCAACAATAACCTTGAATTCTTTCTCTTTGGTAAACTATATACAAACATCCTTTTTTTGCCACTGTTGGAATCTTAAAAAGCAACAATAATTTGGGTCATGAAATTCACAAAAATTTTCAGATAAAGACAGATCTTGGTGGCTGGACTAGAAAAGGCGATTCAGATCATAAAAGGTGTGGCAAATGGTCTTCTCTACCTCCATGAAGAAGCTTTTATAAGGATTGTTGGTAGGAATATTGGAGCTTGTAATGTGTTGCTAGATAAGCAGTTTAATCCAAAGATTTCAGCACTTGGCCAGGCAAAGCTCTTTCCTTGGAACATCATCCATATTAACTGCAGGGTATCTGGGACTATGTGAGCAGTAGTTTCTTTCCTCTCTTTCATGTTTTCTTCTCATTCATTCTCCTCCACATGTAGTTTGATTATAATTATATTCTGGATCATCTCAACACGTGATTTTTCCTTGGGACATGGTAAAATAAATTTCAAGTAGAATTATCCTTTGCTGATTACTTGCAACGGTTCCCTGAATATGAACTGCATGGAAAATTGAGTGAGAATGCTAACGTTTTCAGTTTTCGAATCTTGGTTTTAGAGATTGTAATCTGCGCCAGAGAGGAGATATGGTGACTACTTGAGTTACGCAAGTGAATTTTCGTTAATCCATCTATCGACTCACTTCAGCTATAATAATGTCTTCTTGGCCTTAAGTAAGACTAATTGAACTTGCTGGCTTACTGTTTCTGTAGTCCTTTCAGGATTTTGATGAAAAACTTTTTTATCTAATTCATGAATGTTGGGTTTCAAACTGGAATTAGTGGATGGTGTTTCAAATCTGTTTTGCAGTCATGGAGGCTTTACAAAGAAGATGAGGCCCTGGCATTAATCGATTCAAGTCTTGCTTCAACGAGGCAGAATTGTGCATTGAGCTGGGATTATTTTGTTGCCATGAAATTGTTGAGCTGGTATTTAAATTCCATATCTGTTTTTGTTATGAATAATTACCAGTAACTTATAAGTATTTGTTTTTTTTATTACTTTGTAAATTACTATTCTAATCTCAATAAATAAAACTAATTTTAATAGCTGAGTAATTTTTTATTTTTTAATAAAAATATATACATTTTATTAATACACATTTATTATAATATATATATTTTTTTATATAAAATACATGAGGATCTACAATTTGATTTAAATTTTCAACTTTAACCTTATTTTTTTTTTATCATTTTTTATATTTTTCTCTAAAAGAAAAATCATTAGTAAAAACTAAAATAAAAAAATGATTGTTGAACCTTGATTCAATCAAAACTCGGCTTTGACGGCACCAAGTCAACGCCGTCTCCTTTTAACGAATCAATATTTTTATATGCCTTACGATCGAACCGGAAGGTTCACAAGGATTTGCGCCGGTACGTGGTGGTATCTTCATGGGGTTCTTGTCCAGCCTTTTTACCTGCTTCAGTGAGGAGCCCGAAGACGAGGAGGAATGGAACATCTCCTTTGACCTTCGCACTCTGCAGGTTTCCACCAACTTCTTCTCCGAGAGTAACTTTCTCGGCGATGGTGGCTACGGTCGTCTTTATAAGGTACTTGTGCAAAATTAATCAGCTACTAGTTTTAAACATCAACTTTTGGAGAAGAAGATGATGAAGATAATAAACAGTATAGAGGACGAAGAGGATATCGTGCAAAGAATAGAGATATTTTTAGGATTTGGAGAAAATTATTCCTTCTGTAAAGATTCCAAATGACTTCCAATTAAAAGATATAATATCAAATTTCTAATTAATCAAATTTCTTTGGTTACACCGTCCAAATAATGTTAGTTAGGTTATAGGGATGGACATGGTAGCAGAAAAGTGAATTGCAAACTGCTGTTCATTGCAATTATGGGAATGAATGTTTCTAATGGAATTGTACAAGAAAGAACAAATATGACGAAGCTTGAAATTTTTATTTCGTTTAAATATAATTATCACAAATGAAAATTTGTAAAATCATTGTTAAGATTTCGCTTATGCATGATTTTGGTAGGGATTGATGCCAAATGGTCAAGAAGTGGCTGTTAGGAAGTTTTCGGAATGGTGTGTGCCGCTGAACTTCCGAAATGAGATGAAGCTACTAATAGAAATCTACCATGAGAACTTGGTTACCTTGCTGGGGTATTGTGAAGAAGGCTCTGGGAGGATGCTTGTTTATGAGTATCTGCCGAACGGAAGCCTTGATAACTTCCTCTTTGGTGAAATATGCTTTCATTATCTGCCATCGTTGAATCTTGTCAATCAAAAATCAGTTAAATGTTGGTAAATTCTGATTGTCAGATAAAATACTTAATTTTTCAGACAAAGACAAATTTTCATGCTTGGACTGGACAACCCGATTTCGGATAGTAAAAGGTGTGGCAAGAGGTCTTCTTTATCTCCATGAAGAAGTACCTGGAAGTGGAACAATCATTCACAGCAGTATTTGTGCTCGTAAGATTTTGCTTGATGAGAAATTTAATCCAAAAATATCAGATTTTGGCATTGCAAAGCTGTTTCCAGAGAAAAGCACCTATGTCAATGTCTCGATGATCTCTGGTGTTCTGTGAGTTGTTTCTTCTGTTCTTTATTCTAATTTCTTCATACATCATACATCATTCTCCCCATAACATCTGGTGATGGTGATACTGTTCCTTACATAGGCTTGACACCTCAAAAAAAAAAAAAAAAAAAAAACTTGGTCACAGCAAAGCTTATGTAAATTTCCTTGAGCAAATGGTAAAAAATCTTTAAGCAAAATTATTGGTGATTGCAGTGGGTACATGGCCCCTGAATTAATGCACGGATATTTGTCGGCGAAGGCAGATGTTTTCAGTTTTGGAATTTTGGTTTTAGAGATAGTAAGCGGAATAAAGGCGTGGTTAGCTGAAGCAAATGAAAGCCTGTTGGAAAATGTACGTGAATTCTCTGATGTACTTGACTCAATTTTCTCTAACACTACATCTTTTGCAAAGAAATACCTTAATATCTTAATGTTCAGGACCTGAGTGTTGATGATTTAAATATAGAAGTTAATAAACATTAGTTTAGATCATCATCTTTTTAGGATTTGGGCAAAGGACTTAAAATCCTGTAATTGCTGGCTGATTAATTAGAACCTGGAGGGTGATCAATTTTTCACTTAGAGAAGCTTAATGTATTTACATCAAAATTAACCGGCGATGCTTATAATCTCTTGTACCACAGTCATGGAAGCTTTATAAAGAAGGGAAGAGCTTGGAATTAGTCGATTCAAATCTTTCCCAGTACAATTGCGAAGAGGCAGCCAAGTGCATTCAGATAGGATTGTTATGTTGTGAAGAAAGCCATAAATATAGGCCTGATATGAAGTCTGTTAATCTCATGCTTTCAAGTGAGTCATCAACTCTGCCTACACCTATTTCAATTTCTATGGAGGATGATGAAAGCATATGTTGCCTCTCTGTTTCGTCTTATGATGAGGGTAGGTGAAGCATTTGTTCTGCTAGTCTGTATGTAAGTCATTTTGTTTGATAAACTTCTACACTGCAGTTCGGTTGTGATTACTAGGAATTTCTTCTACTTAAAACTTGTATTATATGGACAGGTGTTTATATAACGATTCTAAAAATTTTTTAAAAAATAAATTATAAATTTAATGCAGAAACGAAATAAATAATTAGGATTTATATTTACTACTTAATAACTGAAAGTACCAAATGGGTCTTACGGAAATAACCATTCTAAAAGAATAATTAATAACTAAAGAAATAAATTAAAAGTAAACAAATGAACGTCTTACTCGCAATTCTCTTGTGTATTGAGCTCTGTATCTTGGTTCTGTTGATCTGACATGGTTAATGAAAGAATGAGCTATACTAACTCAGTAAGAATATCACGCTACTCACTGATACAGAAATGAATATTGGTATAAATCACAAAAACAACTAATGGAATTCTTAATTAAGCAAAATCGTTTATCATAAATAAAATCATTTAGCGTCTATTTACCGTAATGAGATTTACAAAAATAACCTATAAATTCAATAACATAACACATATTATAATTTTATATTCAATTAATCAAAAAAATAACTTTTCATTTTTTATCAGTCTACTGGTATTCATGAGAACTTATTGGGATATCCTCATAACACGTGAACCATTTTTTTTAACATTTTTAATTAACGGACCGTTTTCATACCTCGTCTGATATGAGCGTTAAATTATTAAATATCGATACTCCGTCTGGTATGAAGGTGAAACAGACTATCACTATATTCCGTCCAGTATGAGCGCCAAATTACCAAATTTCGATATCTCGTCCGATATGAGACAACATTCGCAGTAGAATTCCCTATGTACCCGGTCCGTTCACCATATCTCAGGATATCACGTAAGACTGTTGTTTCATTCATTCACTTAATCAAACAGTTTCCCGACTTTCTTTAATTTTCAGCTTCTCAATTCAATCATAATCACATGAAGCAAATAATACATGCAGTAAAACTATAAAATCAATCAATCAGTTATTATTATGCATTCAAACTGTAAAATAAATCAACAGAATCAACAGTGAATAATTTCCGGTTCTGACTCCATTAGTGACATATAATTAATTATAAATATTTTTTAAACTGTTCAAAACACCGTATTATTATTATTATTAGTTAGACTTCAATTTCATAACAGAGAATAAAGTTAGAGATTTTTACTCAAATTGATACTCGAAATGTTAAACTTATTGACTGCGTCTGCTGGCGGTCTCCGGATTCCCTAAATTTTTCTTCGATAATTAAAACGCGTTTCAAGTACTTAGAAATATCTCAAAATCAGTGTTAGGATCCCTTTTTGGCCAATTCTGAAATTTCGGCACGGCAGCTCCACCGTGCTCCGGTGACGATATCGGCGCCCACGGTAACTGTTTACCTCGGATCGGCTATTTCCGGTCGTTTTTTGCTAAATTCGGTCGATTTTGCATCAATCCATGCGAGAAAATATATTAAGAGGCATCGGTTGGCCGAAAAAAATTAAAAAGTTGAAACTCACCGGCGACGAGGTTTTCCGGGCTCTGCCCGCGGTTTCCAGCCAATCCGCCAGTCTTTTTACTCTGATTTGGCCATTAAGTTATTTAAAATCAAATTTTGATAAAAGAAATTTTTTTTTACCTCTCTTGGCAGTCGGAAGTGGTTCCGGCGCGACGGCGGCGGCAATCAATTTTTTTCCGGCGGCTGGGTTTTTTTCTCTGGCGAGGAGTCTGGCAGCTAGGGTTAGGGTCTGGTGTGAAGAGAGTTATTTATATCTATCTCCTTTTAATATAGACCGTCCATCACGTTTGATCTTAATCGTCCAATCGCGATTAAATATGGAGTAAATCTGGATCGTTCATTGCGGTTTAATCTGAACCGTCCAATCGCGTTAAATAAAAAGTGGATCTGGACCGTTCATCGCGTTTAAATCTGACTGTCCGATCACGTCTGGAGAGGGAACAGATTCAAACCATCCGTGTGCGCAAGAACGAATATGGACCATCCGATCGTGGGTACGCGGATCTCCCGCGTGGCACCGCGTCAGCGTCCCTTGCCACATGACGCGCTCTGGTTCGTCGAGTCTGCTGACTGAGCGATTTATCTGGTATAATTTTCTTAAATTATGTTTTGACTTTTAATTTCTGAATTTTTTCAAAAAATATTTACAAAACTCAAATTTTTACTCATTTTTTCTAAAATTATTTTTAATTTCATTATTTGTTTAATTTTTTTATTTTTATATTAATTAATAATTTAAAAAATTAGTATTTTAAATTTTATAAAAATTTAAAAATTATATTTACACACTAATTTTAAATATTTTTTTAATAAGTTAATTTAGGGCATTACAGTTTCTCCCAAGCCCGACTCTTTTTCTTTTGGTGAAAATTGGGTTCAATATTTGGGTTGTTTGAGATTATTACTGTTTTAGTTATTTAAAGAAAAAAATAAAATTCAGACTCTGTATATTGACTTTTCTAACACTGTTATTTAAAGAGAGTAATGAAGATGCGTAGAAAATATCAGCTGTCTCTTTCTTTTCGTTTTACTTTTGCTTCTTGTATTTCTATGGTTTCTCTAAGTTTTTTTTTCAAAAAAAAAAAAAAAAGAAAATTTAAAAAAATGGGGGTGAATAAATCCTCCTCCGAATCCAAACCCGGCCCGGGTTTAATTGCACCAAGTCATAGCCTGCTCCCCCCAAGCAGGCTGAAGTCGCTGAAAGAACCGAGCTGATTAGTTTGGCCGTAAGCTCAAATCGATGCCTTGATGGAATTCCTCTCCAGCCTCTTGACCTGCTTCTGTAGCAGCCGAATCCTCATGGAGGAGACGAGTGAAACTCTCGTTCGATCTACGCACTCTGCAGATCGGCACCAACTTCTTCTCCGACCTCAACCTGCTCGGAGAAGGCGACTTTGGCCCCATTTACAGGGTTATTTCTCCCTCATCATCCCCAACTTTCAAAA